TAGTCGATTGTTGAGAAGCGCGTACGCTCCGGCTCTGAATTTGACGAATCGCGTTTCACTTGACATACTTCGTCCATCGCGCCGAACTATCGGATGTGTATACAGTCGGATCAAAATTACGGGTCATCGAAAGCGGCTAATTTTCTGCGGCAGGTGTAAAAACAAGATTGTATACTCCTCGTACAGAATCGCGGTCGAAATATACAATCTTACGATAATTATACGCGTCACGAACGCGAAACGAAAGAAAGAATCGATCTCTCGGTCGAGAACCATCGAATACTGAATCGAATACCGCGCACAGTCTGGGTACGGTTCTCTAAATCAGCATCAGAATCGATATGTTTTCTTCGTGGATCCAATTACTCCACTCGGATTCAGATTGTCGAAACTTATACATCCAGATCGTGGACGGTTTTTATTCAGATCCGATCGTCCTCGTAGCCGCAACCTAGAAATACAGATCCAACGGACCGAGAGAATTCGACGTAAGAAAGTAAGAACCCCGAAACCACAGACGAGGTATTAGAGTAAACATTTCATCTTATGGGAATTGGTGGCCCACCTAAACTGTACTTTCGACACCTTAAAAAGCCTATAATTTTAGCGACCTCTACGTTTTTAGAACGGTGAATCTCCGGTGGGTAGTGACACTAAAATGGAAATGGGGTGCGTAACTCCAGAAAAGTGGGCCGCAAAAATACATTGGATGAAATGTCTACTCCTGTACCTCGTCTCTGCCGAAACGATTGCGGAGGGCATATCGTCATTGAACGTGTGTTTGGGCCCGCAAACTTCGCGCGGATGAAGTTACAACGGGCTGGTCTGGCAGGAGGTCACGAAACCGTGCCGACCTGTCCCGCGTGTTTAGAATCGAGACGCGAATTTTTACTTTCGTCCTTCGCGTCGGGCCACCTCGTTACGGTGCAACTTTCTTTTCCGCTGCCAGGCAAAATCTTAAGCAGAACGGTACAGAAATCGGCGACGGCGAAGCTAGAGCACTACGGTGCGAAACAGCCGTGTGAACCGCGAACAAGAAGTTTCCACGAACGACGCCGCCGTCGCCGCGCTCTCTAAACGCGAATCCGCGAGGAATATCGCGTCGAAGCGATTTTCTATCGATCGCCAGATTTTCTGGCTTCTCGCTCGAGCAGCGACTGGAGGCTAACAATACACTATGAAAGTCGGTATATACAGTTTGTGTCTTCGTAGACGGACTTAGGTTAGTAGAAACAAATGGAAATTTTACAACATTTCCTGAGGGGATCGTTTAATAAAAAAAAAATAATAGTCAGCGATCGTTGTTAAACTCTGTGAATTTGCATTTTTAGTAGATTATCCGACGTCATAAGGATCATTTTGGATAATATACGTGCGTAAAAGACATAATTCTGAGTTCTACGTGGAGGAAGAAGAAATTGTACATGCTGTAGTACCTAACGAGATAATGCGTTATACATTATTCACAAAACGATCTGGATCTCTTCACTATACATATTTTTTCGTGGTCTAAATTTGTTTTAATTTGGTATTAAAAGTACATCACGTTGGTTTGCGCTCGATAGACTACAGAATGATGAATAGACTGACGATGTTTGTGCATTTATAACATTTTCCAATGTGTAAAATGTAATGAAATAAAGATTTTAATAATACTGTACATTGTAACCCTTGCTACAGGAAATAAATGCCAAATTTTCATTATCTAGAACTGTTAATTTGCACAAACTTCCGCAGTGTAATGGTGAATGTTAATTTTTTCATGAAAAATAATAAGAAAGGATAACACAGAGCGGTAAGAAGAATAAAAGAAAATGGGACACGCCTGTCAGTGAGCGTACAACGAATATGTAAATGTCAAAATAACACTCGAATGACGTCGAAACACAATACAATGGAGTTGCATTTACAACAATAATGAGTTACACTCGATCGAGGTCTCGTGTATGTATAGAAGCTCGGTTCGACGAGTCCATTTTTGATCGATCACTCGAGGAAAGTGATTCAAGGCGCAGCTCATTTGACCGTGTTTCGCGACGGTCTTATTACACGTATACGCGGCTCAAAGTGTGCTGTCAGGCTGCCGTAAATCCGGCACGCAATGACACGATATTCCGACAGACATGGCATCACAATGTCAGCCCCGATTCGATTAAAACCGACAAATTTGACACAGATACCCGACCATGTATCGTCGTCGATCACGTGTACTTCGAATCTACCACAGTCGGTCGTCTGTACCCAGTATCCAATTAATAATAAATCATTAAGGATACCGATCTCGGAACGTCGGTCTCGCTCGAGTGACTCGTGGCATGTTTGAAACAATTGAACGCTGATTATCATCGTTCCAGAATACTGGAAAGAATATAAAAAACTGGAAAGTTGGCTAAAAAATCCTGGTAGCCGGTTCTGCATCGAAAACAGGATTCTACCTCGAAGAATATTGACTGCCAACTCTTTTATACTATTAACAAGTATGTATGTACATACTTAGAAGTAATGGTCTGAAATTTTTAGAGAGATATTGTTTCATCTGTCTTTAATTCAAAAAAATTAATGTAACTTTTATATTTCACCTTAATATATCTGTTCTATTAATGAAACGCAAAATAACTGTTATAACTGATCTTTCGTAAGAGAGTTAATGTGTTAAAGTACAAAGTTAACATAAAACAGAAAAGAAATAATTGAAAAGTTAAGAGTTCAGTAAATACCTTTTATTTATAAAAGTTAACAGTTTCATGCGATCTCTACTTTTTATATAAGAAATACCAATATTAATCATAGGACCTGAGAACGTTTGCCCGATAGAAGGATTTCCTCTTTTCTCTCGAGCCAGAGAAAAAGTGTTCCTAACAAAACGCTTCACATGCTCAAGGGGAGCGGGTGGATGTTACACTTTCCTCTCGGTTCGCGTAGATACGATGACTTTCGCACGGGATATGAAACGCTCCTTATATAATCGAATCATAGACGTGTGTACGGAGCTGCATTGGTCCGTTCTCCCAAAGATCGGATCGTTTTCCGCGCGCATCTCGTACGGAAAATCGTCTGGGAAAGGAATTACGGGTTCCCAGAAGCGGTGAACGTCGATTGAAATTCACGTAACGCGCCCATCGGCCGACGTATCCGGTCTCGATTAACCATCTCTCGCATCGTAAACGCGGGGTAACAGAAGGGCTGGCTGGCTGCACGCGGTTCGCGCGAACGATCGACGATTAATCAATCGCGGAGCAACGATTAATCATCGGAGATGCGTCGGTTATATTTCGCAAGCGGTCCCCGAACAATGGATCACTTTTACTCTCGGTCCGCTGCCGCCTCGCCAAAGAGTACTTTGTTCCGTTCGAGGAATCGCGGTTATATTCGACAAATCGAATCGGCAATCCCGTGCACGATTTCAGATATGGAAATAAATTGTATTGAACGGAGGAAATATGATAACGAGCCCGGGTGAATCGTTCGTTCCTCTCGTGGCACGAAACACGTCTTGTTCCACTGACTTTGTTGGTCTTCCTATAATTAAGTGTCAATTATGCGCCGAGAGGAAAGTATCGCAATAAATTTCAATAAATGAAATAGGAGAGCTGGGATCGACCAGGGAATATACATTCTGATTATTTATGCAAAAGCGAGAGATTGTTGCTGTAATAATTTATATCGAGTATTGGAATGCTAGGTTTCCTAGTGTCTGTGCATGAACCACACATTCTACTGAATTATTTCGTAGACATTTATTTAGTTGGATCGTTTATGTACTCTGTGTACTATATTTTATTTCGACTGTAGCAGTAACGTAGAGTCTATTTTAGTGTTCCCGAGTACATATAGACGTGAGAGTAAATGCCAGTAGAGTCCGTACACAGACGACTCGATCTTCTGGACACGTTGACAAATGAGAACATAGAACGAGAAATGTCTGCGTCGAGTTCCACGGTGCCAATGGAGTAAAAGTTGCCAGAGAAATTGCACCACTCTTAATTTCTCTTGTCTGTACGATCACACACATTTGATATATTCTGCTGGTTTCGGTCACACGGAGATTTTAAAGAGCGAACGCGCGATTTCGTTTTTCGATGGAGCGACACAGCTCTATGGCGAAGGAATTCTCGGTATTGCGCCGGGTGCCGTTCAGTGTTTCGTCTAAGCAAAACGCGTTCAGGATCCATGGAAAGTTCACGTGTTTACACGCGTACGTCGCGTGCACGACGACGACGGTTTACGTGGTCCGGCATCGAAATCGAGGTTGAAACGGATATTACCGCCTTTTTTTGTGACGGTGACAATACGCCTCGTATAACGATCAAAACGTGGAGAACCCGGTCTCGTAGGTCGGCCGTCCATACAAATGAACCTCATCAAAATTCGAACGAACTTGATTCTTGTCGGCGGACGGACGACTGGAAATTTGAGTATAACCTTGTGGTCAAGTTGCTCGTTGAACGCGAAGGAGGGGAGCAGATGTAACTTATTTATTTTCGGACGATCAAGAGAACGGGTGTCTGCTTGTTTTCAACGGCTCTCGTTGCTCTATTTTCGCGCATTTATTTTCGACGTCTGACGAACGACGCGTGATCCCGATGCGATAAAAATAAACGATTAGATTCCTAGTAGATTCGCATTCCTGGACGTGGGAACCGTTTATCGAAGCCACGATTGAGTAAACATCGACTGGACAGCGGAGACCGCTGAAGGGTTATCACCTTGATGGCGTTTAGCCTTCGCTCTGTTCTACTTCTCGTGTGTAATAGATACTGTCCGTTTCACGCGTCTGGCTGGTAACCGTCATGCAAATGAAAGAATTTTTTCCAACGATGAGAATGTATTCCTGGGAAACTGATAAAACTCGTCTTACTGTGACGACCTTCCGTCGGTCCAGTAACGATATAAGAGTCATACCAATCGAGCTTTTCCCATCTAACCCCAATGTTCCACGTAAGGAATAAGTTGTTCACCGATTGATTTTCTAATTGTCATATCCGTTTCCCTTGTTACAGGAGCCAGTCGAAGGCCTCTTATCTGGCTTACCGGAGGGAGCGCGGGGCACCTGATAGCGAGGGCAGCTACAAGAGGACCATGTCCCCTACGTCCCGACTAGAGGATTGGCCACCGCCGCGAGATCACGACGATCCGGTTCTTTTGCGCGTCACGCCTCATCATCCGTTGCAGCATCATCATCATCACCATCACAACAATCACCATCCGCAGCAGCCAGAGCTTTCCAAGTCCCACAGCGTGGACGCCCTTCATCATCGGCTGGAGGAACGTACCCAACAGCATCAGCAACAGCAACAACAGCAACAACACTCCGCCGAAGTGATCGGAAAGCTGTCGCACGATTTGAACAAGAAACTACAGGCGAGCGACGCGAGATCCCGAGCCGCCGAGAATAATAACAACGACAACCTAGAGGATCGACATCAGCACCACCACCATCATCATCATCATCTGGAGAAACGTCAGCAGGAGAAGAGGCACGATTACGAGCAGCGTAGGGAACGATTGTCACCCCAGAGCGTCGAGGTTCTTAACGACAGGAACCGACAGCTGGAACGCGAACGCAGGAAGCTGGCTGCTAGTTGCGAACCTCTACCTCAGAACAGAGAGGTAATTTGTTTTTGATAGACAATACGTTCTTTAGTAGACCCGAGTCAGAGCGTTTCGGACTCGATAGACTTAATACCAGGAACTGTCTTGAACGCGATAGACTTGGTATCCAAGGTCTTCTGGATGGTCATTAGGGATCAATAGGATTTCGGAGCCTCGGGGATCTTAGAAGTCTCCGATGATGGTTGAATATAGTTTGTATTGGGTCTACCAAGTCTGATATCGGATATGTCTGTAGAATCCAACATTGTCTACATTGAATTGTGCATATCTAGAACTCACTAACTACCTATGTCTACATCCGCTATCATAATTAAACTTCTTTTAACTTCAGAAACAGTCGCGAAGCATGGATGCTCCCTCGTCGATGGAGGAGGACTTTTTCCGCGAGCGGAGCGCCACCATCGAAATGACCTCGCAGAACATCGAACTCCTGAATCGCCGTAACGAGAAGAGAGCGAACTCCACGTCGACGTCCACAACCGTCATCGCCACCTGTATCACGACATCGTCGACGTCAACCACGACGACGATCACGACAGACAGTTGGTCACGTGGCAAAGAGGTGCAAACCTCGATCGAAAATTCACCAGTCTCCGAGAGGCCACCACCGCCAACGAGTTCACCTCCAAGATCGCCTGATCAGATCGAAGGGGAAAGTGCAAGAGGTTCCGTTCCGAGACGATCCGGAAGCTGTTCCAGTTCCTCCTCCTCGTCCAGATCGTCCGATCCTCGTATTTCGCCTCGAAGCTTGTCCAACAGTTTCTCAAAAATCGAAAGCTCTCCCATCAACAGGAAGGTGTCCAGTCCGACCCAAACGGAGAACACCGCGTACAGATCCAGCTCGCCTGTCCGTTCGAATCAGACGAACGAGATCGAGCTGAGAGTGGAGAGATCGTCCTCGTCCTCCAAGTCCAGGTCCGGAGGCAGGTCCTCGACGTCCTCGATCTCCAGCGTATCCAAAGCCTCCTCCTCCTCCTCGCCGAGGAACTCTCCGGTCCAGGAGATGAGATCGTCTTCACCTGCGTCACCTTGCGTGTCCCCGCAACTAGGAATAGAAGGATTGACTCTGGTGCAACGCACCGAGGTCGTTCTTCGAGTGAACGCGGCGACCAGCGACGCTGCCTCGCAGACTGATCTCTTGGAACCGGCGGAGAACGAAGACTGCGCCAAGATGCACGAGCTTCTTCTCTGTCGGAAGAAACTGCCAGAGGAGATCGAGTGCGAGGAACTCGGACGGGATCTGGCGAGTCAGCTCAGTCCGAATGATAAACTGGTTCCCCTATTAGGTAAGTGTCTTTCATCGTTTTACCTAACCCCCGAATTTAAACCTGCTGGCTGCAAAGTCAACCTTGATCAAATCCTTCAAAATTTCGTAGAATTAAATTTAAATAGCTATTGGTCAAAATAACTGTGTACCCACTCGTTGCGACCTTGTAGTATCATACACCCTTCCGAGAGTTAGATACAGTGTGTATATTTCTAAAGAGTACTATGGTCTAGTCCCTGAGAATTAATTCATTATGTTAGATAGGGAATAAACCGATTCAGTTGCTTGTGTCGCAAGAAACTGAAGGGAGACAGCTGAGGCGTGACGTTTCTCAGAATTGTCAACGTTTGATATTACCTAGTTCCTTTTTATCCTTTTATACAGAGATTAACTTCTGTATTGTCCAATCAACTTGATTCTCCGGTTCGAATTAAATTCACCTACGAATGTAACGACGATATAATGTCGAAAGGTGCACGCGAGGTATTGGAAGGAATACCCAGATTGCAGTTTACGAGCCTGGCTAACGTAAAGTCACTCGATCGCGCAATGGGAAAGGGTAACGCGTCGACAGCGTGTCTTCGCATGTTTCCCTTCGACTTTAATTCTCGCTTTAGACTAATCCTGGATTACACGCGTTCGCGTTGATTACGTCTAATAAAAGCCACGCAAACACCAGCCATATCGGTGTTCCTACTAGTCATTTCTCTGGAGCTTAAAGTAATCCTACAGATTTAGTGCGTCTAATGGCATCATCAAACTTCTGGCTTCGATCCCTCTCCGGTTTTATTGCATCCCCCGACGATTTTATTGCACTTTCTGATTCCTTTCTTCGGTATTGTCTAACGGTAACTTTGTGGTGTACTTAACTGTGACATCACTGATTCTTATCGTGTGGGTAATGTGTGTCGTCTACCTTTTATCAAAATTATAAATTTCATGCGTTTATAGATTTTGTGAGATTTTCTGGGAATAACATGATTCCACGTACAAAAACAAAACGAGTGGAAAATGTATATGAAAGTTCAATTGTATAGTAGAACGGAATTAGAACATTTTTTAATGGCTGTGCATCACATACTGTTTCTATTTATCGTAAGCACAGACAGAGCTATGGTACGATATGTATGTATCCACCTTATTATCTTGTCTTCATTATAATTATAGCTGATATTCATGAATACTAATAATACATGCAGAAATAATCAATAATCAAGTGCACGTTACCAAAGAACTTTCCAAATTCAATTCTTCGCAAAAACGAAGCTTCCACAAGAAAAAACATGAATCTACATTTTTGCCTTATTTCTGTACGTAGAATGACCTCCTCCTACATTGAACCACGCATATTACAGAACATTTCACAGTTGCTCAGCTACGAACGACAGGAATCATTCGTGCAAAGTCGTGCGTCATCGACGAGAAGCACAGTAGTAGAGGGCGACGACCTTTTCTTTTAACAAGCGCTAACCCAATGGACGACCGCGTTATTCAATTACACATCGTTGTGTTCTCGCGATATTGAACGCACGCGTTACGGCTTCGGAGCCTCCACGAGAACTTCTGGAGCGTGAAAGACGATGAAAAAAAAGGGAACAGGTGTGTACGCGCGGGCGTGTGTGTGTGTAACCATTTCGTTCTTATCAGTTCCAGCGCCGGAGCACAAGAAGCCCACCGACTACGTTTCCGGTCTGTTCAGGGTGGAAGCGACCTTGCAACCGAGACCGAGACGCCGACTCTCACTGGACGAGCCTTCGACCCCGTGCTCTGAAAACGGGGCCGACGATGAGAAAAAGTAAGCATCGACGCAATTACATTGAAGTAATATCAAGCAATTACGAGGCCTTTTGGTAAACATTATTAGGACTCTAGCATGTAAGGTCTTGTGTACGTAGAAATTTATTTGCATGGAATTATGAGGTAGTTACCTGGAATTGAGGGTTATGAAATGTTTCAAGGACTCTCCAAGGACAACGTGATTTGTATAAAGGAAACTCTATACTCTGCATTCAGTAAGAAGATTACAGTTTTTACGATGATTATAACGTGCATCGAAATTTTTTAGCGTCAGTCGTTTCACTTTTAGTATGGTTGTTTAACACAAGTTTACAAGAGTAAATTGATTTTAACTAGAATTGGTTAGAATTTGATTCGAATAATGCATAGTGAAGAAGCAGCAGTATCTGAGAGCGTCATTTTGCCCTTAATGAGATTAAATAATTGTTTGCCAAATATCACTCGTTCAAGGAGAAGTTTTAAGGCATCTTCCATTCCTTATTCGAAACATTTTATCTAGGTAACGAATTTGCGCATCTCTGACCTTAACTATTCCTGTCATTTTTACAATACATGATAACCATTATACTCTTCAGAGAATGACCTTGAAATGTTCTTGACTCTACAGATTCTTGGTTTCAAATTCCACCACTCGCTCTAGTTTCAATATACTCGAAACATTGACAATCCATGTACACGTTAAAGCAAAGAATTCTGTACTGAAACCTTCCAAGTTTCATCACACGGATATCAGTATCAAGACCAAGTACAACAATAAACTATATCTAAGCAGAGTTATTGTCAGCACGAATAATACACGGATTGCATCACGATCTCCTAAAGCCTCAACCAGTTCGGAACTCTCCCTAGCCCCGATATTATTTTCCTCGACTTGACTCCGTTACTTTCGGGTTCTCACTCCAGTTCCCCCGATCCCAGAAACAAATATGATCCTCGTATCCAGCCATTGATCGTAGCTTGTCATTATCGTTACATAAATGCGAGCCGATCGTCCTAGATGATACGGGACGCCGATATTTCATACAGGTTGCCCCACGCGACCGACACTTTCACCGAACCGTTCGATTATCGGTCGCGGTTTCCCCGATGTTTTTTTAATACCCAGTAACACACACACACGGCTCGTTATCAAGATTAATTTTCCCATGAAATTGCCTCTGGTACCCCGTCGCGAAACGGTGCCAAGGAGTTTTCCCCCCGTTTCCGCAGTGCACCATGATCCGTAGATCCTCGACACGTGGCGAAAGGGGTCACGCCGCGGATCGTTTACGAAGATCCTTTATACGCCGTTGAGTGACGTTCGCGTGGGCGTGAATCGACGGTGTGCTTCGTACGTCATTAATGAATCTCCATTAGCGTCGGGGATTTAATTGTCGTTTTACCAGAGACGATTGCTCGGCACGGTGAATCGATAACGCGACTCGACAGCTGAATAAACTGTTCGACGACCTGTAACTTATCGAGTAACGTTGGAGCTAGGTCTCCAACTGTTCGCCGGTTTCAAGGTTACGAACGAAGTAGAAGATCGATGATGTCGAGTAAACGATCGAGGATCTCGTGTCGATTCCAGTAGGAGTTTCCATTGATTCGTCGATACAAAGTGGGTGTAAAGTGGTAGATTGGAGACGATAGTCGATAAGTAAAATAGATAATCGATCGACGTTCCTTTCCCCATTCCGTAACCCCCTGTCGACACTCGGGGACAATATTTACGCAGGCATACACGTCGGGAGAAAGTACCAAAGGCGCACGATTGTTGCGTAACTAGCCATAAATGATATTGTTAGGCCGGCTACTCTCGGTGGTGGTCTACGCATCATTTTGTTCGCCAGTACGCGACGGACGAGCGGTGACATCGTTTCGATCGATCACGGATCACGTCGACGAAGCCGTCCAGGATGGATCCGGCGCGTTCGGTAAAGTACGTCGAGGCTTCCACACTTCCGACAGACTTCTAATCCCCGGGATAATCCCTGATCCGACGACAAGTTCGATTATGCCTGGTAATCTTTGCCCAGATTCGTTCTGTGCACGCGACGATCGACTGGAACGCAGAACTTGATAAAGTTTCTTCGATTGTTTCGAGGAATTCAGGTGAAGAACTTACCGCCGCGCCTCTTTGGAACGTAGATCCGACGAAAATGCCGGCCACGCGTTCAATACCAGTCACGGACGATAAAACAGTTGCGGGACGCGCCTTTCGAGTAGAATAATCCATCGCGTCAGACGTATTTGGTCCGTATTTGCAACATCAATAACTCCGAAACGAAGCTTCGCATGCAATTTAGTAATTCTTGATTAACACCCTGCATTAGGGTGGTACTTATTTAATCAGAAAACATTTTTTTCGTATACCTCGCGAGATGCGATCATGTTACTCATTTGCTACAACAACGACGTAACTGAAAATTTGCAGTTTTTGAATTATTAGTATAGGAAAACCGGGTGTCCTCTGTCATTTTCACCGGCTGAATCCTGTAAGTAGACTTTCAGAACTCACCACGTCAAGACAATCACTTTAATATATATCCGTTCACGACTATAGCGGGCAGAATGTTCGAACGCGTTTCCCATTTAGAAAAACAACGTGATTTTTTAGTTACGTCGTTATTACAGCAAATGTGCCATATTTCTCCGTGCTCAGTTCTTCCGTTTTCCATTAATTACGCTCGTCTAGCTCCAAGGAACCGGCGCCCAAGACGTAATAACCGGGCAATTGGCATGGTTATTTTTTGAACCGCCTCCGGAGCGGTCACTCTGCTCTCCCGCTTTCCTTTCTTTATCACTTTCTCCTCTTTTATAGAGTCACTCGGTCGCGGCGCTGCTCTCGCGTATAGTATACCCGCGCGCCGTTCCGCCGATAAAGATATCTCTGGCGGATGCATTTCCCCCCTCTGGTCAATATTTAATTACGCCCACGATTCCGCGAAGACACTGGATGGTGACTAGTCGTAATACTGTCTTCGATCGACAGCGGAACCGATCGAAGAACGCGTGACTTCTGCGGGACAGGATGCGCCCTGTTGACGACAATCGTAAATCATCTTAAACGACGATCCCTCTTCCCCGAATCGTGTCGAGCGATCGAACCCATGAGTCATGGAAAATTATGCAATCCGTGTCGTCCACGATCACGAATCGGTGCTAAGGAAATCTTGCGCATGGAGATCCTGGAGAATCGTCTTCTGAAGCAGGAAGAAAGATTTAGTAATGGTGACCGTCGTTTGTTTCAGGCACGAATCGATACCATCCACGCCGGTCACTCCTCTTTCGACCGATTCTACCAGCCCTCTGTCCCCAACGTCGGCGTACTTCACCACGTCCGAGGGGAAAGCCAGGTTCTTGACAAGACTCACGCGTGACGTTACCGTCGAGGGCCTGTCGCGTCAGGAGGACCCGCCACCGGTGATCCAGACGGACAACCTTGATCTCAGGCAGAAGAAGGTATGTATTAAAATAATTGTAATTCGACAATAATTGAACCGGTGGATGCAGTAATGGTGTAAGTCAGGAGTTCACATTATAGGAAGATAGCTTCAAGTTTAGACTATGAATTGTGTAATTGTTTAATAATTGTACAAATGTTTTACAAGATATTTTCTAAACCTCTAAATATCTCAGAAGCATATTTACTGACGTTATAGCGTTACTCCACCCAACGACTCAATTCATCGTCCCTTGCGTAACACGTGGCTCAACAGGTGTTTACTCCTATTATTTGCGTTTAATTTCTTCCGCTTTCTCACACTTCCTATACTCCTAAAAACTTTTATCTTCGTTGTCCACGGTCCGTGGATTTTTCCCTTTCGCGGGAAGTCATCGTGAATCCAGCCGTATAAACTTTCAACGGCTTCATCCGGCATTAATCGCGTTTTCGAATTCTTTCGTAATAACTTTCCATATATGCATCGCGTTGTAAGGAACACACATGACCGTGAAATCGTGTGGTTTATGAGTGGTTGATTTTCATCGCAGGAGGAGCTGATGATGAGGCTCGACAAGAAACTGGTGGTCCTGAGAGCCGAACAGGAGACCGTGAGAGAAGAGGGAGAGGTGAACGATGCTCTGGGTGCTCGCGTCGCGACGCGGATCGCCGCGGTCGCACGACCGCCAGAAGCGTCCAAGTATCGACTACACGTGGAGGAAGTCGGGAAGATCACCAGCCTTCTTCTTGGGCTAAGCGGCAGACTTGCACGAGCGGAGAACGCCTTGCATGGAATGCCAGCCGATCACGCTGAAAGGGTGAGTTTCTACAATATCAATTCTTTTCAAGCATTTGACACTTTTAGTCGAGTTTGATTTACCACTGCTGTCGAAAGGTTCGAATTGCGAATAAAAAAAGAATGGAACTGGCCTTGTAGAGTGACTCGCACAATCGTTCAGAGATTTCTGAAAGAATAATTATGTGTTAAAAGTTTTATGCAATTTGCATTTATACATTCTCCTTATAATTACTTTTATTGTCCTTTTGTCATAAATTCTTCTTACTTCTGAATAATTTGGTCAAATCGAAGTCGCAGCCTTTAGTGAATGTACTTGCGAGTCACCGTAAGTATCTTTCTTATGGTGATGTACCGAAGGACTGGTGTACAGTATTGTGTTGGGTTAACAAATGACTTAATCATCGAGTAATAATAATACAATTAACTGGATTGCATGCTTAAAGAAACGAAAGTCAATTTCACTCTTACTGTTTGATAGGATCTTCTTGATACTAATATAGAAATTTCCCACAATTATTTCGGCTGAAAAGTGGATACTCTATCCGCAATAACCGATCAAATGCACTTTCCCAATCGTTTCTCTTGTACATACGACGCTTCTTCGTTGAATCGAGGAATTCTAAATGACCAGAAACGGCAATTTAACGTTTGCGCGATTAGCAGAAAATTCACTCGATGTCCTTGGGTCCCCGACGTACCGTAATCCACGTCGGCGTGGAAATAATTTGTAGTTGTCGAACGGGAAGGCCGCGGAGACATAGACACGCTTATTCATCCGGCTGGCGGAAAGTTGCGTTGATTTATCGAAGAGATCTTGCGCAATGCGGTTTCACAGTTAAAGAACGATCACTACGAATACGCGTATGATGTACCTACCTCTGGTGACGAGTCACCCTACGGACAGGAAAAGATTAACGACAATCGAAATCAAATCGTAATCTCGACTTCCATACGAAATACGTGTTCCGATGTCTGTTCACAGAAAATCCTCGAGAGCAAACGGGACAAACTGATTGACCAGTTGGAGGAAGCGAAGATCCTGAAGAGCAACATCGACAAACGTAGCGTGAACGTCTCGACGATTCTGTCGAAGTACCTGAACGAGGAGGAGTTCGTCGATTATCAACACTTCATCAACATGAAGGCGAAGCTGATCGTGGACAGCCGTGAGATCCAGGACAAGGTGAAGCTCGGCGAGGAGCAGCTAGCCGCGCTGAGAGAGGCGATCGACTAGTCGTAAATAAAAAAAAAAAAAAAAAAAAAAAAAAGTATGAACCGATCACGTACGATCGAAACGCGTTACGAGAATCGCGTATTGTTGTTTTCTTTTGAACCTCTCGACTACGATGGAACGATAAGAAAAAGGAGAGCACGCGTCGGTCAGCACCGACCTCCCGACGAGACTTTGTCGTCACTTTGAAAAAAACAAATTTCTACACGCGTCTACGAATCGGTGATTGGAAAGTGATAATATCCCTAATCGATAAGGTATCGGTAGCTTGAAATTATTTTTTACCATTCTTTGTATATACAATATATATATATATATATATATATACATATATATACATATATGTATCTCGATCCTGGACGGACGAAGCGTCGAGAAGCCGTGTTCCGTCTAGTGAAATTGTACTTGTTCCCCAGTTCTTGCGACTAAAAGAGAGAATTTTTAATATCGGCACGCGCGTGCATAATCTTTCGTGGTCGCGTTCGATGGTGATGTCATCGTCATGTTTGAGCGAGATGGGCGCGATCTTGAAGATCCAGAGACAGCCCCGTGAGCGCCCCTAGTCGATGCCGAACTTCGCGTCAATTGTTGTTACCCGTGAGTCCCGTAAATGGGATGACGATGAATGGAATTTAATCGTGAATGGGGAAAGACGGAGTCGAAGAGAACTGTTATGCGTACTGGTAACCTCGAAGGGAACTGTTGATCGTTCGTGTTTTATGTGTAAATTCGTTACTCCTGTGTAATAATCGTTGTTTTGAGTGTCTTTACGCGGGCGTCGAAGTCTCTAGAGTAGCTTAAATTCGGTGGCGCGCGTAGAATGTTTCGGGCGAATCAAAATTTTAATATATACGTATATTTTCAGAGAGCTACTTGTCTTTCGAGTTTACATGTTAATCGAATTGTTTCTAATACGGAGAACATGATTGAGCGATAAAAATCGTGGTTTGAGAATCGAAAGATTGATTTGTGTAACTTCAATGTATGTTCTTTTTCGGCATCGAAGGGAAACATCGAGCGTGTGCGCAGCTTACGGGATACATTTCCGTTCACTCGGTCAGCATAATGGTTCGCGTTCGTGGTTGGCGCGTGTCGTGGGATTTTCTTTTGACCTAGAATTACTTCTGGTGCCTTCTTATATACGATATGTGATATAAAGGGTAAGGAGTCCACGTGGTCGTGAGATGTGTACGAACGATGCAACGCAACAACCGAGCGGCGTTTAAGCGTGTATATATATTATAAAAGAAGAGGAAGGTAGTCGTTAAGCGATGATACAGTTGTACGAAACACACAGAACACACAGACACGATGGTGACGATCGGGTGCGCGAGCGCGCACACGAGAAACACTCATCGAAAAAACCATTCTACATGCTCACGTATACAACGATTATTATTTTTTACGTTTTATTCTAACCCCCAGGGGCTGCCGTGAGCCCCTATGACGCTTGTGATCTTACTTATTTCTGTCAACCGGGCTAAGGACTCTCGAAAACCGTGCGAAGAGCAAACGGGTCTTTCGAGCCTCCATGGCGGTCTTACGAAAAATTTTATGCCTCGGTCGTTTATGAACCTTGTTACATTATCCGTTGCTCCTACCACACCTCCACCCCTTCTCATTTTCCTTTCTCTACGCTTCCTGTCTTCTCCGTCGGTGATCGTCTCGCCGACCATCGCGGTCGATCATAACGACGAATCCGGGAACGGAGAAGACCACAGGAATGAAAAATTCGAAGGGAAGGATCTCCTCCGGTTCTTTGAGCTCGGTAATGAAATATTTGCACGTTGACTCAAAGATCCCGAGATGGAATCCATTTTCTGGGGCGTTCCAGCGAACGGCTCGCGGCGACACCATGGGTGAGATTTACAGAAGTGGTCGATGTTTTATTGAAAATTCGTTGATAGCGAATGATTTGAAATATCTTGGTAACAGTAGTTGGAAAATATTTTCCAATATTTCGTCACTGTCGGAGTTACATTATGTTAATTTAACTCCGAAAGAGTTTGGATAATCGCCGAGCGAGCCGTGACGCGTGGTGCGCGAGGAAAAATTATTGTCTCCGCGCGTGAAAGACTGAGCACAGGGCATAAAATTTTACGACACATTATAGTCAGTTTCTGTTCCTCGTTTGTTTCTCGACGTTCGCAAGATATATCGCGCCGACACGGCGGCGACACTGTAATCCCGCCGCTCGACCTAACCCCGGAAACTAATGCCACATTTTTCGTAATGTGCTTGCAAGCAGCATTACTCGTCGCGTTGATCATCGCGGTGGCTCCGCGGCAGAGGACGCGCGGAAAAAAGAGGGAAAAGAATTGTACATAAAAACGAGTTCTCATTCGATGATGATGATGATGGATGATGATGAAGAAGAAGAAAGAAAAATGAAAAAAATACCATGGTGCTCTGCATAATCTATTTTTTACGAGAAGAAACGTTCCATTAATCGTGTAGGCTATTTACTTTATACATTAAGGTCATTAATATTTAATAGTGCCCCACTCTGTACATACCCTTTACAAGCATACAAGTTTAGTTTTTAACGTGATGCGAGGCGGACCCGTTCGGAACAGAGATATCAATAGAATCCGCGTATACAGACTCGTACGCGTGTTTAACATACACACCTACAACACGTACACACACCACACGCGTAAATGACGACGCTAGGTCGTTGATAGTCTGAGAATATTATCGCATATTTCGAATGTATTACGAAATCATTACGATAACTACCTTTCCCAAACTCGCTTGCAATAAATAACACGTTGGAAATTATTGACCTGCCCCCGTTTATTTCTCATTTTACCAGCCAGATTTCATAGATATTTGTTGCATCTATTGTTACTTTGTATATGAGAGAATGATACATCGCACGGATTCTCGAGAAGAATGAATTGTACAGTATAAGATTTTAATATCGGTGAGTTGATTTCATCGGGAACGCGATGAACTATTTCGCGTTAAAGATATGGTCCACAGAAAAACAGCGCTCGGCATGATTCATCGAAACATTCACTCTACTTCCTCTATCGTTGGACCGTCCGAAGGACTACCGGCTTGATCGCATCCTTTGAACGCTTCTGGATTCACACTTCCATAGAACCTTTTTATAATTGGTTTGCAAACCTAGAAAATTGAAAATTTTGTTACAAGAAGTGAAATAACATTCCAGTACACTGACGGTGACAACGGAATAAAATTACAACCGAAAATTAGTTAAGCAGAGTATTAGTAAATACAATGAAGTAACAGCCCAATGACACCTTTTCCCGAAAATGTAGCAAATGACGCCCTGACGATTGCCCAGGCCTCACCACGAGGAGGTTGCTGCGAGTGGAGGCCCAAGGCAGCTAGATAGAATCACAAGTTCTACATCTACGCACCTTTCACAATAAACCTTATAAATAACTTAAATCTTAACTATGTAATACTATCGGTACTAATTTATGGGACATTTAGTGGCACCCCCACCACGTTGGTGGGGGAAATTGGAACTAATTCCAGAACTTCTGCGATAGTTCGCAAAACGGTGCCAAAGATGGCCGGAGCGGTCGAATGGGAGTGAGCGAGACCGGGAGAGCGTGTCGCGGTATCGGTGCTCTCCGTCGGTGTCGAAGCGTACCGAACGATGCCGAAGATGGTCGGAGCGGGCAAACGGGACGGAGCGAGAGCGGTACAGCGAGCCGCGGTATCGGTGCTCTCCGTCGGTGTTGGAGGAATTTCAGGGGTCTATGGGGGGAGGTGTGCGAGCGAGAGAGTACGGTAGAGCGTGCCGAGTAGCGGTGCTCTCCGTCGATCCAACGCGCTAGTGAGTTGCGTCACCCAGTTTATTGACTTAGCCGTGTACGCCGTGTACCAAGGTCGTACCATCCCGTGCAGGTCTGTGCTTGTTTCCTCACTTTCTCGTGAACCGTCGCGGAGGGTGGTCGCGCGTCTCATACTCGTCTTTTCTCTTGTTACTAACCCATTGTTTGTTGCAGGCATTCGACAACCATCAATTTATTTACTGTGCATATTATTAATTTATTTACTGTGCATATTGTTGTGTCCCCTCTCTTGTTACTAATCCCTTGTATGTTACAGATGTTCGAGAACCATTGGCTTCGATATTTATCCTCTTATGTACTGTGATTCATTTACTGTGATTTCTATACTGTGATTTATTTACTGTGCATATTATTAATCTATTTTCTGTGCATATTGTTGTGTCTCCTCTCTTGTTACTGATCCCTTGTATGTTACAGATGTTCGAGATCCATTGGCTTCGATATTTATCTTTTTATGTACTGTGATCCATGTACTGTGATTTATTTACTGTGATTTATTTACTGTGCATATTATGTATTCTATGTGTATTGTATAATGAAAAATATTTTTCCAAACAGTTATTCCATCGAAAGAAGACATCGATCAACGTCTACATCTTCAAAGCGTGCGTCTACCACTGCGTTAAGTTACTGTAAGTTAAACTTAAATCATAATTCGATATTCATTGTTATATTCATATTCATCATCACATCGTTTATTATTAATTTTAGTCTATCTATTAATAGACTTAAATTGTGATCAGCCATTGTGCATACCAAGTTATTATTAATTCATTTTGCTCGTTGATTTCTCTACACAGACTTGGGGTATGGGCAGTGGGTCTGTACCTATTATGGTACGGGCAGTGGGCCTGTGCACTAAGACTGTTTGCCGATCCCTCTGGTTTCTATTGAGAAGCCAGATATCGGACGTGTTTAGTCTTTGCCTGGCAGTAGGATTTGGAGTAAAGGCTCGTGCGCGCCTGGGTACAATGTGCCCGCCTACGGAGTAGTCGGGAGTCTGCTCCGTAAAAGGACTCTGTTTTACAGGGGATCTCGCTTGCACTACCATACTTGGTCATGACCTGTGCTCGGGTCTGGTACGTAGGTGACCAGCCCAAAGGGCCTGGAAAGTGAGAGATGGATTCGGGTTTGCGAGGTTGCGCCCGTCTTTCCTATTTTCTTAAACCAGGTTCTGGCAACACTTTCATCGCGATACTTGTTCATACTGTAGTTTAACGTGGTTCATCGTAGAATTAATTTTTGGCTTGGTATATTAGGTGCGTAAACGAAATGATCGATGGAACTTTTTCCATTCCGTCTATCTCTTTCGTTTGAGTATTAGCGACTACATTGCGTTAAATTTGTTATTTCGTATTACTAGCATTAATTCGTATTAATTAGAATATTAAGATAATATTAGTTCTAAGCTGAAGAACGAAGACAACCGACGAGGGAACTTAGTTTTTTATAGGTTTAGGCTCAAGAAAGAAGTCATCCGCCGAGGGATTTTAGTATCGGTAGTATTATATAGTTAAGATTTAAGTAATTTATAAGGTTTATTGTGAAAGGTGGGTAGATGTAGAACTTGTGATTCCATCTACTTGCCTTGGGCCTCCACTCGCAGCAACCTCCTCGTGGTGAGGCCTGGGCAATCGGTATTGTCATCGGTAAAATACTGTAAACTGAAGACAATATCGAGCTAATGGCTGCGAACTTCGAATATATCTCATGAAACTACGTTCTATATTACATCGAAATAGGATTATTTTTGAAATCGATATGAGATTCAAAGTGTAAAAATGTCTAGTACTTTAAATGTTTTAGAAAAGTATTCGAGATAAAGATGTATGGAACTACTGAAAATTACTTTAGATTCTCAAATTCGAATAAAATCGGTCATTAAGATCGCAATTTTATGCGTTTCGATGTGGAATGGCTCGTTAATACCCATTTGCAGGATGCTACAAATATATGCAATATACATATATCATAGAATTATTAATAATAAAATAAAAATAAACCTCTGAAGTGTTGCATACCGACTTCACCGAGCTTGTGCAGGTTCGGGGTCGGATTTGTCGTAATTTGTGTTCGCGTACAAAAAACTAATTACTTTCAATATGCTATTACGAACACGTATATCTATGTATTGTCACAATAAATTTAAACAAACAATATATTTTTTAATTTACAATGACAAATATATACATTATATACGAAAATCTATTATTTTTTATTTTGCATTATTATTTTAAATAACCAAATATTTGGCAAATAAATCATTTAGAAATAATTTATTTCTGAAATAAGATTTTGGAATTTATTTGCATACATCCTTATTTTCAAATATACTTATCTGTTATTTTATTTGGAATAATTCAATTGCTTCTTGTGAATAAGTTGATATTAAGATATCTGACCATTGAATATTATAAAACACATCAGGAGCAATTTTTTGGTACCATGATCTGTTTGTAAAAAGGCCATTACCTATCTATTTTGCAGATAACAAATTTTTGCTTTATTTGCGAATATCTCATTAACTGTTAATGGTGCTGTGGGAGCAATTTCAGATTCGGAAGGAGCAAATTGAGAGCAATTTTTTGAGATATAAATCGTTAAGATACGTTAACATTCAGCGCCAACTATTTTCCGGCATCTCGTTTCCTCTCTGATTACACCACCTGTGATTACACGTATGGTTCATAATCGTATGCTGATAACTGAGAAAACCCTATGAAGCTTGGAACATCAGTAGGTAAATCAGTAATCAGAATCATTTATCTTCTGATGATAAGTAGGAAATCTATCGATAACAGATTCACGAATCTGTTACTCTTATAGAGTTCACCTATAATGGCGCTGCACAACTACTTCCTCAAAGAATAAGTTTTATACGCTCCTTATAACGTTATAATTTAATCGAAGTTTTAGCAACAACTTCAAACTTTCAACACTTACGTGTTGGCATCAAAGTTAACATAAATTAGCAATACTAGAATGTAATTAGAAGGATACGCACGCTTTCGGCTTCCCTCAGTTTAGCTTCAAAGTCCTGCTTGGTAGCGGAAGCATTGCTATCCAACCACTTGATGACGTTGTTACATTTCTCCGAGATGCGTGCCCGGTCGCCCTCCGCGATCTTCTCCCTGATCTTCGGGTCCTCCACCGTGTTCTTCATGTTGAAACAATATGCCTCGAGGTTGTTCTTGGTCGCGATTCTGTCCCTCTGAGTCTCGTCCTCCGTATGGTACATCTCCGCCTCTTGCACCATTCTCTCGATGTCCTCTTTGGTAAGCCGCCCCTTGTCGTTGGTTATCGTTATCTTGTTTTCCTTCTGCGTCGATTTTTCAGCCGCGGATACGTTCAGGATACCATTTGCGTCGATGTCGAAGGTCACCTAAGGCGGAAAATTAGACGAAAAGGAGGACTATGTTACTTTCGTCGTCGTTCTCCTCTTTCCCAACCCCTCGACTGTATGTGTCCCAGACGTCTCCTCTCGTTCGTTCTGTTCGTCTTTCGCGTTTGCTTTCCGTTTCGATGCTTATCCGGACGGGCTGACAATTCCAATAGAACCCCGACCGACTCGTACGCCGATGGCAACAGGCAGAAAAGAAATCTCGAGACACCGGATCGCCTGGAAAGAATCTTGCCAGCCCTGTCCATTCGCAACCCCTTACCCTCCTCACATCCATGGATCTATACAGGGTGTTCACGTTATTAATTCCCGGTGTTCCGGATGTAGATGCGTGCAGGAAATTGAACGTAGAAGAGGATCCATTATCATTTTGTAGTTGGAATAGATATTAAAAACTGAAGGAATCTTGATTTTTTGAACGAAACGTATGTAGCTTTTACATATCATATGGAAACAACAGAGCCGAGTACAGTATGGTAATTGTCAAAGTTATACAAGATCAACATTGAAAAATATTAGAATGATGTTATAACATAAGCATAACTGAACGAGTTATTTTGTAAACTTATCCAATATAAAGCAATAATCAATACAATGTTTTACAATACTTGTAATACTTTACCAGTTCTGCTCGTGTTCAAGATTTAATGTTATCGTATGTTATCCTACTGAACTCTTCTTGACAGGCACGCTGATATGATATAAAAAAAGAGTAAGAAATATAAAAGGGATAAAGTTAAAATTCAGCTTTTAAAGTCTCTTGCAAGTACAAAAGTTTAGTTTATGTTATAGCATTCTTTATAAAAATAATGAAACTTGCTCTTCTACTATTTCCTTCGCAATAATACTTTGAACACCCTCTATATCCCAGCCAAGGATTTCCTACTCCGGTGAAATCACCGAGTACCGACCGCTCGAGGCCTATTCCTCTCCGGAATTGTTTTCTTATCTTTGGCCCCGGTTGCCCGGAACATTTATTAGCGGCTTCAGCCCTTGGCCAACCAGACATACCCCACCCTCTATCTTTTAATTGCTGATCGGTAATCATTGAAGTGGTGGAGTCGTTTCTGGTTTAAGACCGTTTTAGGAAGCAGTAGATTGAGAGTAGAATAGTGGTATCGAGAATTCTGTACCAAACAAATATACAGACTTTATAGGATAAGAATAAAATCGAAAAAATTTTACAGCTTCTGTTGTAATGAACGTAATAGTTCCATTATGATGTGACATCTGTTGTCCCAATAGATTTACGTTAAATTTATCTCTAAATTCCACTAAGATCATTTTAATAAGCTAATCAGAAAAGAAAATATGAATCTTTTTCACGTTTTCCTTTCCCGATTCATTGTTCTAGTGATTATAGGCCCGACTGACAGTCCTGTACCGTATCAGCTATCCGACTATTTATCTAAAACGGCGGGAAATCTTCACCTCGATTTGAGGTATACCGCGTGGTGCCGGCGGGATCCCGGAAAGTTCGAATTTTCCCAAGAGGTTGTTGTCCTTGGTCATCGCCCTCTCGCCCTCGTAAACCTGGATCAGGACGCTCGCCTGACTGTCCGAATAGGTAGTGAAAGTCTGTTTCTGTTTGGTCGGGATCGTGGTGTTGCGTTTGATGAGGGCAGTCATCACGCCGCCGGCAGTCTCGATCCCGAGGGAGAGCGGGGTCACGTCCAGGAGCAGCAGGTCCTGAACCGCCTCGGACTTGTCCCCATGCAATATGGCCGCCTGCACGGCTGCCCCATAAGCCACCGCTTCGTCCGCGTTTATCGATTTGTTAAGATCCTTCCCGTAAAAGAAGTCCTGCAAAAACAAGCAAAGAGCTCGATTATTATTTACACGTCGGCTGACAGATCCTTTCTTCACGTTGGGCAAGCTAAAAATTTATTCAGCTGTCCGTCATTACTTTTTCAAAGAGTAAATTATTAATTTGATATATTACATTTTCAGGAGAAGATCTCAATGTACAGAAATGTTTTTGAACGTTTGAAGAATGTATTTAACACGGCATATTATTTTTTCACCTTCCGGTGTTGGGATCCCAAAAGGGAGCAGCTTTAAGATATAAAATTTAAATTCTCATGGATACTATTTCTCTTAAAATTAAAGGTCACTGAACTTCCTTTCGCCTCACCGAAAACTCGCATTAACTTGATTACTTCGGAGAACCCCGGCAATCGTTACTTCGATCTAATTAAGATTTATCGTTCCGGTAGTATTAGACAGCATACGCTAATTTAATTACGATTATCGTTCCCCATGATAAAAGTCGTGAAACCCTTCGGTCGTAAATACATTGAAACGGTCCGTGCGTCTAATCGTATACCGGTAACACGGTGACTGCGCGTAGGGTTCGAAAAACGCGGGTGTTGACTTTGTCATCGAGCTCATTAATTCTGTAACGTTAGGCCCGGGGGGAGTCCTGATGTTGTCCGTATCCGTCCCCTTTCGTCCAGACTACCGAACCCCACTTAGAACGCTGCCCCCGTTGGGGCTCTCGCGCTTGGAAACGTAATCGAATTTTAATGCGTTTTATTATCGAACCAACTCTCTATATCATCCTGACTTCGTTTCAACGAAGCGACGCAGTGTCGACTGTTAGGTTGACTGTTAACTCCAGCTGATGGAAACGTACCATTCTACCAGACGTTCTTGAAAACCAAATAAATGTAGATATGCACAAGCTAAATCCAGGCTCACTTTGAACCTTATATGTGAGTCCTTTTTCTTTCTAAGTAAGGCAAGCAGAAGAATGAGCCTAACTTGAATTTAAGGAAAATTCCTTAAAACATAATGTATACAGTAAGAGTATTGGTATCTTCCAGTTATATGTCTTTTACTACCGTTATCCTTGTTTAAAATTGTTCGTAGAGGAATTTTCACCCTCAACAACATTGCCTATAAAATACTAGCTTAGTAAGTTCTTAATTAATGAATGCCATTACCAATCATCCAGTATATATTGAACAATATGTGAAAAAAGCCTTTTCTTTTAATAAAATAAGACAAACCTGAAGCAGTCGCTGTATCCTTGGGATCCTCGTGGAGCCGCCCACGAGTACTATGTCTTGGATCTGCGATTTCTCCATCTTGGCATCGCGCAAAGCCTCCTCGACAGGGACCAGGGTGCTCTTGAAGAGATCCTGGTTCAGTTCCTCGAAACGGGCGCGCGTGATCGACGTGTAAAAATCGATCCCGTCGAGGAGAGAGTCGATCTCGAGGCTGGCCTGCGTCGACGACGACAGGGTTCTCTTTGCCCGCTCGCAGGCCGTTCTCAGTCGTCGGACCGCCCGCTTGTTCTTCGTCAGATCCTTCTTGAACTTCCTCGAGAACTCTTCGGAGAAGTGTGTCACCATTCGATTGTCGAAATCCTCGCCTCCCAGGTGGGTGTCGCCGGCTGTTGCTTTCACCTGGGGAGGTTACAGTATCAGGTACACAAGTGTCAATGTTACTGTAAATGCGATTAATTGGTAATTAGTTGGCACTAATGTATAATTATCAATGTAAGTGGCTAATGAGAAAAGTTCCCATGAATCCGTTGGTAATTTTATAATAATAACCGAGGTTCCTTGGCGAAAGCAAAGTGATGGGGATTATGAAATTTAAAGAACCTTCCGTCGTCAGTTGTTTTTCCCTTGATCCAAGTATTTTATAGTATTTCAGAAAAGTGTTTTGTTACTGAATTCCTTACTGTACCAGTCTCTAGTGAAAACTGTTAAGTTCCTTTATTTATTTTTGCAACACGATGAAGATTAGCCTTCGCTAATTAGTTGGATTAACTCTACGAGTCATAAAGTTCCAGAAGCTCCAATTATTTTCTATGACTCTAATTGAAGAAATAAAACGTTCTTTAATTACTGTGAAAAAAGGAAGAAACTTCTACTCCAAAGGTTCGTTTTTATACGAGCCGACGACAGGTGGCTCCATCTCGATGAATTCCAGCGCGATGGGGAAAAAAGGATCGGCATGGAACGCAGATTTACACACAGACTCACCTCGAATATGCCATCGTTGATAGTCAGTACCGATACGTCGAAAGTACCGCCGCCGAGATCGAAGATCAGAACGTTCCTTTCACCGCGTCCCTTTTTGTCGAGGCCGTAAGCAATAGCCGCGGCGGTCGGCTCGTTAATGATCCTCAGGACATTCAAGCCGGAGATAGTACCGGCGTCCTTGGTCGCCTGACGCTGGGAGTCGTTGAAATACGCCGGTACCGTAATAACGGCGTTCGTGATGGTCTTTCCTAAATAAGCTTCCGCAGTTTCCTTCATTTTCGTCAGAACCATCGAGGAGATCTCCTCGGGAAAGAAAGATTTCGTTTCGCCCTGGAAAAGTAATACGCCGAGGATGATGTGACCGAGGAAAGAGCATAAAACTATTACGGTACACCATTAATTGTTCTTTTCTTCTCTTTAACTGGCACAGAGCGAGTACTTGAAGATAAAGAAACAACTTTCTTCGTTTCAATCCTCACACTAATCGTTCAGTTTCTTGGAATTAGTAAAACGAGACAAAATAATCGCTATTAAGAATTGATATTAATGTAAAATGTTATACCCATAGACCATAGATTTTTGAAGGTACTACGGAATTAATTTTTATAGTAAATCTACCAAGGAATTGTGTTGGAATTATTGCATGGGTGTCACAATGATCGATATGCAAAAGTAACACAAAGAATCATCTGCAATTTTACCCTTAGTAATTTCATTTAAAAAAAAAACATATTTATACACACCACACGTCTAAACACAGTGTGATCCCGAGGAACATAACCGTGTGCTCAGAAATAACTCCAACGAAATTCCCCCCGTCAAAATGTCGAACGTTCGACGCGATGGAACATCGATCCGCCGGTTGGTCAACGAACTTACTTTATACTGGACGCGAATTTTCGGCTTTCCTCCGTCATTAACAACCGTGAACGGCCAATGTTTCATGTCAGCCTGGACTGATGGATCATCGTACCGTCTGCCAATCAGCCTCTTCGCATCTGTCGGGACGATTTCATTTAGGGATCCTTGGCTCCCCGGGCGAATTCGAATCGATATCGAATCCTGGCAACGATCGCGTAATTGGCCGCGAACGTTGCGCGGAGGATCGAACAGCGGATCGAGGGGAGGAACGATCGCTCGCTGTTAACGTCGTGAAAACGAGCGAGGACAGTATTCCGGCCCCGTCCGCGGATAACTACAGTGCACCCGTAGCGGTAAGTCGATTTGGCAGCAGGCGAAACCGGAGCGTTCTCGACTTTACAGCGGCTTCCGGTCGCGTTTCTTTCGCGGCCTGGGCAACTACCCGCCGGAAGCCAGACCCGAAGCCCGGAAACCCAGCGCTGATTCTTGTAATCCCGGGCTACGCTGCCAAATCGCCGGACTACGCCGCGATTATCGAGAATTCAATTCTAGAACGTTTCTATTTTCGCGTTGCAGGTATCGTTAACGATTCACGAAACGATTTTGTGATTTCGTGCTTTTAATAGAAAGAGGGAGGAAAAGCAGAACGAGATGCGAGTTACTCATAGACGTATAATAACCAGACTGCGCATTTCGCTGAGAGGTCGTGAAATATTAGAAAATGGTCTGGATCTCCATTCTGAATTGGTCCCTCGAATTCTTTGCTTACCGGGCAACGAAGACTTCTTGACCGGATCGTGCGACGTTAGAAAAGGCTGGTGACTTATACAACAGCTTGTTTCATATTGAAATAATTTCCGCGCCATCGGTTAGAAAACACGTTAGAAAAAGAGAGGCTGGTGACTTATACAACAGCTTGTTTCATATTGAAATAATTTCCGCGCCATCGATTAGAAATATTCATTTATTAGAGAACTCTGTATTTCTTTCTTCTTAATGTAATTAATTACAATTATCCAATTTTTGGAATTGGAACTATGCATTTAAAAAAAAAAGATATAGATATTAATTTACTAAAATCTTACAAGTGTTCATTCATTGGTGCGTTTGCCCTATTTCTAATTTTTCACACGATTTGACTATGAGAAACATTGAAACCGCGTTGTCTATTTAGATATTATACGTGTATGCAGTTATTCTAACAATTTTATCCTGGAGCCAAACACCCAAGTTCTGTACTTATTATCGAAAGAGTATATTGTAATTATTTTTCTGTATTCTTATATCTTATCCTGTCGTAGTCTGCTTCTATTATGTCTGTTAGGGTACGCGCCTACCGAAAATCGTGTTGGTAGGATTCATGGCTACTTGGTTCTTGGCGGCGTCGCCGATTAACCTCTCGGCGTCCGTGAACGCGACGTAGCTGGGAGTTGTACGGTTCCCTTGGTCGTTCGCGATAATCTCGACCTTCCCATTGTGGAAGACTCCGACGCACGAGTAGGTCGTGCCCAAGTCGATGCCAACTGCCGGCGCTGCCATTGTGGGGACCCCCGACGAAATTTCGGAAGCCAAAACGGGGAAACGGGACGGCGATGTGCGCGGTGGTCGTCGTCGCTCGACTGTTTCGAGCGTCGCGTCTCGCCTATTGTCTTCTTCCTTCCAGCGCCGTGCACGATTACGCTGAATTACGCGACGGCGGCGACGACGGCGGAGTTTATAAAAGTCTGCGGAGAAACCGTTCTTCCCTCTTCAATCAAACCGGAGGATCTAATTTTGGGTACGGTTACGGTACCACGAAAACTCTTTCCAACGGATTCACTTTAACCCATTATTGTCCGAATCTCGTACAGTTGCGCCTGCTGGCGAAATGTTTCGAATCGTGTGTCAACTTTTGGTAAAGTCACACTTGACTGTTAATTTAAGAAGACATTTGCCTTCCTCCAGCACATCGTGGAAAATCACACAATACCAGTTGTGGGCTAAAGCAACATGTACAATCTTACAGACTAAGAGTTATTTCCTCTGGAAAAAAAATTCATCTAGACGTGTTACGACACGCAAAGTGTCCTTTGTCGACTGCACCGTCAGGTGGAATTCATTTCCATTAAAAAAAGAAAAAAAAATACAACGCGAAGCAGGAAGCTAGGAAACAGAATCGAAGGTAACGTGGACTGCAACGTGACACAAATTAAGGAAACGCGTCTCCGTCGGAGCGTAAGTTTTATGCGCGACAAAGAAAACACCGTTTCGCGGACAGACGTAATCTCGACTGTTTCCGCGAGGCTTCCTGGTGCCGTTTGCCAACTATGTACACTCGCCAGTGTCGAGAGCTGGGTTTCCGCTCCTCGATCATCGTGCAATTACGGCCGATACCAATCAAGAAGATCGAACGGCGCGCCCGTTCGTGAATTTCGCGCGACGCGTTCGATCGCGACGACGACCGATTCCCATCCACGGGGAAGGAACGCCCGGTCTGTTCGTGACCAGGATTACGAATCGGCACGAGGCGACGATGATAGTCCATTCCCGTCGCGGCGCGCACAAAGGGACACGCTGATACGGCCTAGCCCATTTATGGTCCCATAATAAACTTTCTGTTCCCCCCACGGATGACGTCGGTTTCCCTACGAGAATGATCGATAACCGTGAATTGGAACGCCACGGATGAAGAACTTCGTGGCTCCCCTGTGACCTCTGCTGGCCCCACGAATGATGGAAATATTCGTTCGAAACTGTTGTAACTGCACAAAATGTAATTTTGCGTAGTAAAATTCTATTTTTCTTGTTGTCCTAAACACAGGATAATGAAGGGTTCATCTAAACTGAGGAGAAACGATTAATTTCAACGGGGAGTGGATGATTCTTATTATAAATATTTTGTGGTATAGTATAATTTCCTAGAACAGTAGTGTGTATTGAAAAACTTGGGCGATCGAACCAATTATAGCGCGTTGGAATTAATTTAACGACGTGTCTTCTTATCGGAACCGGAACAGAAACGCTTGTACATACGGAGAAGACCCGCCCCAACGTGGTCCACTGTCGTCGAGGAGGAGCTCTTAACGAGGCGGTGTCCGATAAATTTAGCTCGAAGGGGAGCTACAGAGACAGGATGTGACGCGTTAATTTACTAATCCTTCCTCGAACTCGCAAGAATATACTCATTATGGACGGCGAGCGTTACGATGTTAACTTTGCGAGGAAAACAATCTGTCGATGATTTGGATACCTTCTACGAGACAGGTTGGTCTGGCTAATGGAAGTTTGCGCCCTGATCTACTGATCTTACAGGCTACTCTATCAAAATTATTATATTCTTTCTTTCCTGTGTGCATTACGTTCTGTAGTGATTAAAAATATTCAGCGATACAATCAAGTTATCAAACATTTATTTTTTTAAGAATGGTTAATTCGAAAATTCAAATAATTCGAATAAGCTTTTACAACGACAACGTCCGTACTAACCGAGAAACTATGCTTCAATTTTCATTCGATACTCGACCACCCAAAAAGCTTCGAACCGACGACGGAACAATTCGAAAGTTCCCGATTAATCACCACTTTCACAAGGGGTCTTGCGGCGACAGCCAAAAAGTTTTGCGGCACATTCGCCGCCCTCGGAGTGTGTCGAGCTACAGGAACGTAAAATTTAGAGGCACACGTTCATGCTCAGGGTATATTTCTGGAATGGTATCGGTATCCATACCAGATCCAGGAATCCAATTAGTCAACTTTTTCTCTCAAGATTCCGACGAAAGGGCGTAGGTACCCAGCATAGTCCAACAGCCATAAAACGTCGGAAAACAGCGCGTAGGAACGACTGTGCGTGCGTGATAGTACAAGGTTCCCCCTTAAAAATAAGAACAGGCTAGAAATGGGGGAGGGGGACAGAAACGGATTCGAGGAAAAATGTACAAGGAACGACAAAGGGGTGCTAGCTCCAGAAGGGGAAGTGACGCGAATATCGAGATTGGATCGGGGAGGGCGGGCAGGCGGGAAGGGGAAGGGGGGGCGTTAAGCAAACCTCATAAATATGTCGTCAGGCCGGTAAACAAGGGCACGCGAACTCGGTACAAGCCGTACGCTCGTTCGCGTGCCATATACAACACAGGACCGAAGGGGTGGTGGGGTGTATAGAAACCGTTCGATCGCCGCGGTCGTGGTCGTGGTCGCGACCGGGATTTAAAGCCGGAAAATTTATCGTCTCGCCATGGAGGCGGACAGAAGCGACGAAAGGGAGGAAGCCACGGGTAGAAACGGTTGGTGGATTTGCGCGAATGGATGCGGCGAACCGGGGGGCGGAGAACCAAGGAACAGACGAAACATCCGTACGGAGGGTGGAAGACACCGAGAAGCGAAAAGCGTTGGCAGACGACCGAAAACCAGTCGTCTCGGATCTTCTACTTCCCATTCCGATCTGGCCACGATTCAACGACCGTTCCGTCGACCCTATATGCTAGTCTGCATACGCAACTTACCCCGCAGAAACCGCGGGTTTTTCCCCTGCTCCAAAGGAGAAGGGTTGAACTGCCGATCACCTGGAAGAATATTGAATTTAGCGGGGGATATTTTGTATGTTATGTACCGACAGTAATATAACTTACTACGAACTCCGAAGCAAAAACACTCCCAACATTCATTGCTATATGCAGCGGAATGTTCCACGAATAAACTTTGAAAACGTGTTATTCGGTATCTGGTGTGTCGTACATCGATATTATATCCATTTTCAATCGAATTTCCCGTTCGACACCGCTGAGCTATGCCGAACAAAAATTTTAGCAAGTCTAAGAAGTCAGAACGAAAGGAATCCCGAAACTATCCCCCCATTTCTGGAGCGTACACGGGCGAAACTTACGACATCCTCGACAATCTACATCGAAAGTGACTTCATTTCGCTCTCTTCCTCTCTCGTGTCTGCTTCTACTTGGTTGTTCCCGACCGCGGTGACTTCGATAACTTCGAGGAGTCTACGCTGAGCAATATTTATGGGGCCGAACGAAGGTACGCGACACGGACTCGAGTAGTAGTAGAATCTAAAGCGACGTTAGAGCGCGTGCGAGGCGATACCGGCTCCACGAGAAGGCCCCCGTAATCGGCCGCGACTCCTGTCGTATTTCTCGTCGGATAATAGACGTCATAAATAACGCAGACCAGATATTGAATGGGAGAAAAAGGCGAGAAACCGGTTACAATATTTTCGCGGCTCGTATCGTCGTCGGTCGGGGCTCTCGTCGCGGACTCGCGAACGGAACGACCGTACCGGTGTTCCAGTCAGGTGAAGGGTTGGGGGGATGACAGAGGTGTAACAGCGCGCTGCTGCAACATTTCGAATATAAGTTAGCCGGATATTGTCCGGCGCGAGGCGGAACGGTAAAGGGTTTAGCAGCTCTCTAGCAACGACCAATATGGTGGTTACACGAGGATGAAACGATATAAATCCCGAAACGCTTACAGTTATTGCGGATCCAACGTAATATCCACTCGAACGCTGGTCCAGCCTGGCCCCGGCCGGTTTACGTGGTAATTTGCCGATGACAGCGTCGCGATAAAATGAAATCGGTCCACGCCGGCTTTTATAACGACTTCGACGCGCTAAACTTCGCCGGAAGTTGGCGCGGAACTGGCCGGAGAAGATCGAGGGCTCCGAGGCGAACCGAGAAGACTTTTCTGATTTCCTACTTCTGTTTCCGATGATGTTACTTAATCCTCCGTTATTATTGATAATAAATTTTGATACGTTATTCCTTCTTCTGGTTATTATCTGTTCTATTTTTACTGATATAAATTCCTGTAAATACCAATTTTGTGACTCAGTGCAACCCTCTGAGTATACTTTCAGACATTTCACAAATATACCAATCCTCGATTCGTATTAACGTTTTACTGACCGATAGCCTATTACTAGACTTTTAAATTTCATATAGCTTATAGATAAGATATCTATTAATTTATCCTTAGATCAGGGTTAAAGAAGAAATTGTTATGTTAATCTATTATCCTATAATTTGCTACTGTAATTAAAATATTCAATAATAGTTCCTTAGCTGCTGTTTGATCTACTGAAATCCCCCTCGCGAAAGACGAAACGCAGCTCCACGTCGGATCACCCGGCGATCCTGTCGAGTGTCGAGACGCTCGAGCACCGAAGATACACGCCCTGACAAATCTCATACGGTATTCATGGAAACTGCGTATTCATCAATGGGATGATCGTTGCTCCCCCCCTAGGATAAAAATCTAACTCTCGTGCGGGGCTAGCGTCACTGGCACGTACGTGCAACCTCATCCCTCGTTCTTCTTTTTGGTATCCCGTTGGAATACTTGAGCTCGCGAGAAAAAGTATTTCTGAAAGACGGACGTCGGCTGCACGCCTACCAGCGTGTGTGTTATTTGAGTTATTTCACATATGGCGAACGATCGATACGCATCGCATTGCATTCGGGGAGACCATGTCGGTTCTCCATCCCTCACCCTACTTTCTTGCTGTGCTACTTTCGATGTATCGTGTGATAGTTGTGTGGTGGCGGTTGAAACAAGTGTGACGATATTCGTGAGATATACTCGGTTGTATATTAGTAGATATGTGGGATGTGAAAGAGTGAGTTGAGAGTGGAGTGATTTCGTTATTCTTCTTGTTGTGCGTTATAATTAAATCGTATTCGTGTTATTATATTTAAAGCGTTGTAAGAGTGTTATGTTTAATTAAATTGTAGTCACATCAGACTTAACTCTCCTCATTAAATCCCATTGATACTCTTGTTTGGTATAGCGTGGTTAACGTGGGAGCTAGGAACAGTAGAAGTTGCTTGATCTTGAAAAGGAAGAAAATGGGGGACTGATTCACTTCTTGTCTTTGTTAGTTTATGGTAACGGCGAACGGTGGTGGGGACAGCGTTTAGCTCCCGGGAGTCAATTTTGCTCAGCTCTGCTCTAGATACTATGAGCAAGTATAGTGGCTTCCAGCGAAGTGGTCATTTAGTACGAAACGGCCAGTACAGTGGCTCTCTTCTATACATTGTATCAAGAGACGTTCGATAGCCAACGATTGTAATCACGTTCGTTTGTTTTCTACCGTGATCCAAGCGAATAAATACTTCACTCGTGAAACGCTTTATAGCCTGCTCTGTCCTAGCCAAAGGGTTAAATTGCTCGATCTAAATTGAGTGTACAATTTATCGACAGATGAATGAAGCTCGGCGACTCGCAGAGTGTACCTCGTTACATCGTACCTCGCGAACCGACACCGAATCACTTCGGCGGCATTCGAATCCCGGATCAGTTAAAAGCGCGCAATAATCGTAACGAATGAAATTTCTCTGGCGGAAAAATTCAAAAAAAAAGAACAATCATTTAATTTCCCCTTAATCCATTTTGTTCGTCGAACAGTCTCCCGGTTGGATTCCAATCGAATTTTCGTTTCGCGCCAGCCGAATCGCGTCGTCGTAATGAAAAATTATAAAACACGCCTATTCGGGATGTGTTCCAAGGGTTACGAATCGTTCGATCGTTAAATCCTCGATAATCGCGTGTGGACGAATTAAACGAAATTTCCATTTCGCGAACGAATCCAGTGTCGTTAGATCGCCGCGACGACAAAATGAAAATACGATGGTTATCGTTTACAGACACGTCTGCCCGTCCACCTGGACGTGATACGGGGCTCGGTATAATTAATCCTTCGCGGACAAAGCTCGGCGTTATTGTGCCCCTGTAAGTTGCGACAGTAAATTACTCGTCGAGTCTCGCAAAGAGCAAACATTTCTCTCTGTGAACCAGCTTCCTCTCAGTTCTTCATACCACGACGAAAATTGAAATTACTTGTATCCGCGAGTCTGTGACACGCTATACGGACGGACACGTCTCAGGGAACGAATGATCTACCTTAATGAAACGTCGTCCCGGCGATGTCCTTATTACGCGAGGCAAACAAGATCCCTGTGTCTCGTTCGGAGCCATTGTGGTTCTTGGGAACTTCCATCGTTCCCGATTCCCCACGCCGGCGAAACGGAAGAATCGGGACGCCACGGGCGAGCCCGTGGATCTGTAAAGTTTAATTAATCCACGGATACTCTTAAGCGGTTCCTGGAACTCGTGTACAGAGTTAAAAATACGACAGTGATACTTGTAATTCTTCTACTGTTCAAAGATACCTACAGAGGAATTGTACAATGGTGGATCTTACGATAGACGTTCTTTCGATTTAACCCTCAGACGCCACACTAGTGCGAATTTTGCACCGACGAAATATTATTTCGCCTGTTCGGTTTGAAATTTACCATTTCTTTACAACAAATTTGCAATTATTACCATTGAATTACTAAAGAAATTATACTCTACAAAATATGTTACGAGCTCAATTTGCTTTTATTCTCTACAAGTTCTTGATCATCAAAGATTCAGAACGCCAATTCGCTCTAACTAAATGAGGCTGTGTGATTTCTGAGGGTTAATATCTAGCTTGTAAAATCCAATTGAGGTATGCTTCAATTTTCCACGCGAAGGCTATTACGACAGAATTCTTCCACGGTCACGCGTGCAGCGGAAAAGATACCGTGAATGGTAATTTAAATGCGGTGGGAGAATGGGGGGTGTAATCAATCGATCATCCTCGTCTTATCGAGGCGGTTCCTCGGCGATCTACAGGTAACCGAATCCGTCAGACGTGATGAAGCATATCGATCCATTAATTCGTGCATCGAATGCAGGAACCCGCGCGATTTCCCGCCGCGACTCGGTCGTCTGGTCGACCAGCGGGGCCCTTAATGGAGCACCGGTTATCGGTTAAATTTCCAATAAGATTCGTGAGTGCCCGGGGAATCATTCCGCTGCCAGGGCCAGCTCGTGCACACGGCGGCGGCCGTGGGAAGAGGGGTAGCTTTGACGCGGTTGCTTACGGAGCCACCAGAACCGCCGTAATGCGCCAATAAAAATGCAAAGTACGCCGCCGGCCCCTCAGCCACTCCTGAGAAGACACACACCGCAGGCGCGTGCGCTCGTGTACAGTAGCTCGCAGTGATTCTTGTCGGCGGCGCTAATGTGAACTAGCTTTTTTGCGGGAAAATAGCTCGGAGCTGATGATCGTGTATTTAGATCGAAGATTTTTAGGATGCAGAGAAAATGGTGTACAGTTAGGTAGACTGGAGTGGTTAAGATAGAAGGGAAAAATATAAAAATATATTTTACCTTTTATTTTTGTTTGGTCCTGCTAATTTTAGCCAGGTTTTATCTTGTATTGTATTCATAAGATCGATGTCAGGGTTTATTATTCTGTAGGCTCACAGGTGATATAGACTATAAGCTGTAAATTAATGTAGATTCAGGTACCGAGAAGTTAAGGTCGAGCAGAAACTATAAATTTTGGTAGCTTCGGAGACCCAGTAATTAGTGCGAACTGCAAGCTGTAAGTTCGTCGTAGGTCCATGAATGGACAGTCCGGCAGACCGTGTTTGAGACTAGTGGTAGACGACAATAATAGGGGGTCAGTAAAAGAAAGAAAGTTATGAATTAGAATTCCGTCTGAATTAGTAGTCTTTGTTTTGTGCAGTCAGGAAATTGGCTAATTGGCGATTGCAGATTCAATTAACGACGGATTAGAGTACATAGTTTACTAAGAAGTTTCGAAAAAGCAATTTCTTACGAAGTTGATTGCCATTGTGTTCTGATTGAAGATATTATCCTTCCTTATCCTATTCCTATCCTAATCCTATTTCCAAGTAAACGGAAACTAAATTACCCGCTGGAATAGAAATCTATGCTGTATACTGTACAACGCGCGTCTTCGGTCTCCCGTGTTCTTCCCCGAAGGGACGGGTTCGCGCGGGTTCAGATTGAATGCGCGGCTCCTCCTCTCGCGAGAAGGTACTCGAGAGACGCTTCGCGAGAGTGGCTGCGAAATAAGCATCACGAGTGGAGCGACAATAGGGCCAGCAGTATTTTTCTCCCCCGTGTTCGGAAACCCTGCGCGTAAGGGAAATGGGTGACGTCGTCGCCGAGATATTTTTATGGACTCCGTTTAGGATGGAAGCGACCAACAAAAGGGACACCGAAGAAGTTCCTTCCCCGTCCAGGGTCTTCACGATCCTGTTCCACTGTCGGGGCATCTATGTCTCGGAAGCACGATCGGTCGATCGGTCCAGAAGCACGATCGAGTTATCCTGGGACATCGACTCGATCACTGGTCCGACGATATTCCAAATGGCTGCTGGACTACAGAGGGTCCGAGGTTCGACCTTGTTACTGTGATTACGGCGCTCGAATTGTGCACAATATTTGCTCACCGAGCTGTGATGTCAATTAGCGTTCGGGGCTTTCATCACTTTCCCCGCTATGATCAAAGAAAATCGTTAACATTATTTCTGGAGGGAATGAACCGACCACGACTGGATGAAGCGTCCCTTGTACAGTCGTCTGCCGAACAAGCGACCGCCACGTTGCGAAGCGGCCAGCCTCGCGAGAGAAACTGATTAAATGGTAATCGAGCTGCGTGCGCAACGATTCGTCCGGAAGGTAATACATCAATCAGCGGTTCGATTAGCCGCAAAACTGGAATATGCTTGTCCGCCACGATTATCCCGCCGCGTCCACCTAACGATCCGGCACAGCGTGAATTCTAAAGAGTTTGCGGCTCAGAAATGGAGAAACAAGGGCAAAACGAAAAAACGTTCTCGAATGGTGGACAGAGTGTGGTCGCTGGCGCAGGAAGACGTAATTGGTTCGGTTAAACACGGATTAGGTCGGAGGTATTTAAAGTACCGGGTAATTAGGGTACAATAAGAGCTCGATAAATGGCCAGGATGATGCTGAATCCTGAAGCTCCATTGCAAGACATTGAAACTTGGTTTAA